CTCATCATTGATATATAATTATTATCTCTGTCCAAAAGCTAGGTGAAGATCAAAATCTGTTCTTGAATTAAAAAAAAATGAAAATAATGTCCACAGATAAAACTGGCTGTCACCCAAAAATAACAATAAATGATGAAGAAATTGAAAATGTCACAAACTTTGAATATCTAGGCTCTATAATAAACAGCAATGAAGATTGTTCAACAGAAATTAAAAGGAGGATAGCCTTGGCAATGCAAAGATTGAACTGCCTTAAAAGTGTATGGTTAAGCAAGGAGAAAAAAAAATTGGAATTTTAAGAGCATGCATCTTCCCTTTGGCTGCAAACGGATGTGAGTCGTGGACTATCTCTCAGTCCTTAAGAAAGAGAATAAGGGCTTTTGAGCTGAAATGCTATAGAAAGATTCTCAGAATATCTTCGACAAAGAAGAGGAGAAATATTGACAGCTTAAAAGATCTGAACATCAAGGAAGATTGGCTAATAACAGCATCCTTTCTCGGAATGCTGAAATATTTTGGTCATATCAAGCGTTACAACGGATTGGAAAAAAATATAGCAGAAAGCATGGTACCAGGAAGGAGGGGCAGGGGCCGACCGACACGAAGATGGGCACAGGATATAAGTGACTCCTTGAGTGTGAAAGTACATGAGGCAGGAGAACTGGCGAGAGACAGTTTTCTTTCAGGCAGACTGTGATGAGAGCGATGTTCTGCAAAGCTACATGATGATGATGAGCTAATGCTCAAAATGGGCACAGTCTAGACCTTAATTTTATAGACCAATCGGCAGGTTCAGTGAACATCCTAGCCACTTTCACTTTCCAGGACTTTGCCTTGTACCCATTTTAGGTGAAATGTATTACTTGTTCACAAGCATGACATTGAAGCTCTGAAGCAAAATGGCAAGAAGAGTCACTTGTGAATTGTTTCCTTGTCAAATTAAGAACAGCATAAACAGCGGGCAACATTTTTTCACATTAACAATGTTAATGTCTGTTCCAGACAGAGCCAGAGGTAACAGGGGCAACACGTCTGACAATGGCAGACACTTTGAAATGACTTAAATCCACATTTTTATATCACCAAAGTTTGAAAATGGCAGACACTTTGAAATGACTGGAATTCACATTTTTATATCACCAAAGTTTGAAAATTGCAGACACTTTGAAATGACTTGAATCCACATTTTTATATCACTAAACTAATTTCAGCACAATGCATACTGCAATAACATGCAGTATAACTGAAAGGGAGACACAGGCTCCACGTTTTTCACTCAGCACATTATGGGGGGGGGGGGGGGGGGGGGTGTGTGTGTGCTATATAGATCAGGAATAATCCTAAAAGTGCTGTTGCAACTATTATGAGCTTCAGCAACTCAATTCTAGCATAAATAACAGCAGAACTGATGGATGTATCTTGGCTAATCAATCAATCAATAAGGCATTTTCGCCCAAATAAAACTGGGCTGCAGCTGCGTATCTCTTCCGCAGTTTGCCTAAAATAGGTACCAGGTAAAGCCCTGGAAAGTAAAGCAGCCAGCATGTCGACCACTCACAGATGATTGGTCTATAAAATATAGGTCTACAACTATGTATCCACTATGCCTAAAGGCATATTATAAAGTGCCCTTTGCTTTTGTTTATCTTAAGTTCTATACTCTTTCCAGGCTGCTTTTTTTTTTTTTATTTCTAAATGCTATTTCCCCACATGCATCACTACCTAACTTTTGGTCACCTGCCCTCAACTGTTCCCTCCAGTATAACTGTGTCTTTAATGCTTGCCAAAATATTTTGTTTCACAATCTGGCAGCTCTTGGCCCAGGAAGTTTTGTCTAAACCATTTCAGGAACGACTGTTTTGATTTTAACTAATGATATGTGACCCAGCCAGGCAAGCCTAACGCTGATCACACAACAATCCTTGCCTTTCGCTAGAAAAACTATTAACACATGTAATTAAAGCACATAAACTTTCCAAAATTGTATTTTTCTTTTCTAATTGTATAAATACAGTTTTGTTTGCTGCGTATTAGAATGTTCAGACAAGACACTTCACACCAAAGAAAAACAACGACCAATTTTTCTCAACAACTCACATTTTAAAACTTTTCAACAAATTGTTACAATGACAACAGTGAAAAACTTCCAGTAACAACACTAGCAATGCAGTTTGCTACATATGCCCAATATTTTCTGCTTATATATTGACACACTGTTAGCCAGTGTCCTGGGCTTTTCAAGTAGCTTAAGTGATAGCTTTGTTCATCTTATTTTTTTTAAGCTTTCAGCTACACCGTCTTTCCATCTATTTCTTAGTCTCTACCCCTCAGCTCTGCACTGATGTTTTGCTGTAGAAGTGTAGTTTGATCTGGCTACATTTTTACTAGATGGTCAAACCCTTTATTCTCCGTCTTTCAAATGTAATCCAGGCTCAGTCTTATTCCAACTTTCTCTCTAAATCTGACACTTGTGATCTTGTCCATTCTTGTGTGCTGTTGGTGAACTTTTGGAGATGGTGCATTTCACAAGCATTTTTATTTAGAACATTCATGTGATTTACTCACTGTCCATGTTTGGCACTGATAACAAAAAGCTGGGATTGTTGTTGTTGTTATCGATCCAGCGGCGCATGAGCTTTCGCCCTTTTGCCCAATGCCATGTAGTGGAATTTGCATGTTTTCACAAGCTGTTCTTTTCCGTTGGGATGAAGATGCCATTAATCTGAGGCCTGATCACTGTACTTGATTTGCCAAAATTAGTTTATCATTTTATTTAGTTTACAACACATGCCTTATCATTTTACTCTGTTTTTACAATAACAAATTAAATACTCTACATTTTGCACCAATTCCCTACCTTATCCAACAAACAGCTGAACACAAACTTAGGTACAAAAAGCACATAAAACTGTGCTCGGTAGCCAAGTCACAAACGCTCCATTCACTCTGGCCAGATAGGGGATCAATGATACAATTAATACATTCACATTATTTTCAACAGAGATAATACTAAATATATTCATGCCATTTTGTACAAATGTAGGTGAGTTCCTGCACCCCATTGGTACGGAAACAAGAATAGACCCACTGCCTTCCCAAAAGCATGTCGTAAGAGTCTACCAATTTGTAGATTCCTTCAAAGTCAGAGTGCATCTGCCAGAGAGGCAAGGAACCAACAGTCTGCTTACAAGTGATTCAGGTTCTGCATGCAACATTCAAGTTCAAAAACAGGTACGAGTCCAGAAGTGGATAAACAACCAAAACTTTCTGCCAAATTTTACAGCCAGTGAATGTGAAGAAGAAGAAATAATTTATCCACATCACTCAGGAAAAATGTGGACACACATTTCTTGTAATTTTCTGTCTGGAAAGATACCGACAGAAAATATCTTCAAGCCACTTTGGAAGATGAGATTAGATGACAAATAGGTTCCTAATTTCAGCAGACAGGAACTGATGATGCATCAAAAGAGCAGATGCGGACAGTGATATGTGAGACTGATTATAAATTATGCGTTTACATGCATTCATGTCACTTGAGCTTCTTCTGAAATGTCACAAATGTGGAAATTATAAGAAGCCATTTGCAACAATGCTCCAAATTATCTCAGGAAACGTGAACATTGCCAGAACATAGAGATATCATTGCCTACAACACACAGATGAAGCTGAACACACACAAGTTCAGCGCTGGCCTGAACAAAACCTGCTGTTATTTCTCCTCAGACACCACTGTAACTGCCTATTAACTGACGACACATCTATGTACTTTATTCACTTCCCCATCAGTTTTTCTCTCCTAAAAGGGAGTGTATTTTATATACTGTCAGAAATCACAAATAACCCAGTGGCCGGCTAATTGTTAAGCAATGTTACATGTGATAATCAGGTGTTTATAACTTTAGATGTTTGTTGCCACGCCTGCTCTATAAGTGCCACTTTGTGGCTATTAATTCACCTCAACTGGACACATTAACTGGTAATGATGTAACATATATTTGCAAACATACAAGTTATGTATGACAGTTTATTTGTTCTCTAGCTAAAGTACCTTAATACAGACATCTTTCCAACCACACCAGCTAAACATCATCAACTAAATCATCATTTCAGCTGCCCAATCATCAAGTTTAGGTTCATCTTTTTTCATTGGGTCCTTTCAGAAGTGCATGACCGAAGCAGCAACAGATTCTCTCTCTCCAAAAATCGTTATCAGTTCACCTAAAATGTGCCCACTTTTTCTGTTCCCATCTTGTCACAACAGTCTAGGTTACAAAAAGAAAGGCAAATGTAAATTCACAGTTTTCTTTTGCTCCTACATCAACACCAAGACACTTACACATAAATACAAGCTTTCAACTCAAAAAATGTAACATAGCACACAAAAATATTTTATAAAACTTAAATGAGAAAAAACTTAACTTTATTCTGAAAGTAAATTCTTTTAATTATTTACATTAGTTATATCAAGAAGACAGAAGCTCTGGGTCCTTAACTCTCATGTAACAAAAGCATGAGATTCAACAGAAATCCCTAAGCCTCTTAAGGGTGTCTTCAATGTAATAAACCTGTTGTAAGATTCAAGCCAAACACTGGTGTTCAATTGTAATATCCTGAAGAATTCATACTTGCAAAGGAGAACAATCTGAGTCCATGTGTAGATCTGGCACATGACAACCTTGGCCAGGATCTGTCACTTGTGACAACCTTAAACACCCCAAGATAAACCCTTGAGAAACTCATCAAAGTCCGCATCTGACATTGCCTCCAAATTGAGCGCCTGTGAGTGCAGTGAGCTGGGCGAGGCTTGGGCCAAACTAGACGGTGGCTGAAGAATGCTCTCCACTGCACTTAATGAACTGTCCTGAATAATGCTGCTAGCCGTGTGAGATCCAGAACCAGCCAGGCTTGGCTGAAACAATGGAGCGGGGCCGGTCACCGCAGGGGATGGAGAAGAAGACTGAGAATTTGTGAGGATAACTGTTGGCGAGCCTGGCATGTTAGGAATGAGGAGCTGGCGAGGGTGTGTCCAAGTTAATAACAGGAGGACTCACTGGCTCGTTTGGTATTACCGCATAGTCGTCATCATCATCATCTGAACTGTCCAGAGTGAGGTCGATTACTGGAGCTTTGGCAGGGGCTGCCGCTGTCGTCGCTGTCGCTGTCGTCATCGCTGATGATGATAAGAGAATTCATTTCCTCAACAAAGTCTACAAAGCATTTATACAAATATTATGTGCTAGCAGAACTCTCAAAAACTGAATGAGCACTCACTTTAACTTGACTGTCAAAACAAGACCACTGTATGGATCAAACACATTGAATAATCACTAAAATGTACAGAGGAAATAAGGCAAAATCAGAAAGAGGTGTTTGGCCATGGTGAGAACTAAACAAATTCCAGTGAATTAAAAAGTGAAGAAAGATGGTGCTGGCAAAGGATCACACACTGAGGAAATCAGCGTATTAAGACAGCTCCTCACCAAGAATTATGAGGCAGAAGCTACACAGGGGAAACAACAGTCAGGAAGATGAGTAATTTTGAAAAGACATGGAAGAAACGAGAGAGGCGTAAAAGGGTAGGAGAACTAGGCAAAGTTCTGCACACACACACACACAAAAAATCATACACGCAAACTATTAAGAAAAGACTGTTAGTGACTACTTAGTTAACTTTATCTACAGAGTGCGCATTCAGTTTTTAATTGTAAAAAATTCCCCCCAATAACTTTAGTCACAAAAAAATCAGTATGAAACAGTAGTTAACCCTCTTAGCACGGACGGGCCGATTATCGGCCGGCGGATGTCTAGCCAAAAACACGGAACAGCCGATGATCGGCCCGATCGTGTTTCGCCTCGAACCGCTAAGAAATCTCCTACTTTGAAACACTGAAAGTGATTCATTTATATTAACTGCGGTATCAGCTTTACACATGGCGACTTTCGAGTGTTTGGGTAATCGAAGGGAAAATTGTTGTTGAATTTTTTAGATAGTGACCTGAAAAAAAACCGCTAAAAGTATGTCTGACTCGTATGTTTTCTGCCCCTAAACTTGATGTTGATAAAAACATTTAAATCAAGTGATGACACTAATTCTGTTGATACTGATGCAGGGATTTAGTGTTAGTAGTAATAGTGGGAATCAGATGGGGACGCTGTTGTGTTCAGAACCACAGCCCAACCATGGCTCAGGGTATATCCACCCGAAGGTGTTGACACTGGCACATCCATTTCTAGTGCTGACTGATGGTGAAAAAACACATGTCACCTAAAGATATTATTGCTGTTTCACATATATATACCTGTTTTTGACTATTGAATTGCTTACAACATTTTGTAAAAAGGCCAAGGATCAATAAAAAGATTTCAAACAAAAAAAAATTTTGTTTTTAGTTTTATGTTTCAAGCATTGAAGTTGAAAATTCAAATTCATATTTTCTATTTTTAGATATGCAAATGAGATAATTTGCATATACATCAATTAATTTTAACGATATTGTGAAAATCACGAACTTCAATCTATATCCTTCAAATAGATATATTATTTCATAGGGGTCAGAATAACAGAAATCTGTCAAAAAAATTAAATAAAGTAATAACCAAATTCACTGAAAAAATGCTCCGTGTTTTTGGCTAGACCTCTGAAAAACTTCCCGTGCTAAAAGGGTTAAGATGTGTTTACAAATTTGTGCCAATGTTAAACAAATTATATCTAAATATAAATACATGAAATTATATAATAATATTTACTTCATTCTCGACGTTATGACACTTTTTTCACTCGCATAACTAGTAATTAGAATGCATTTTCAATCAGAGCTATATAGCACAAAGTTCCACTGTAGTCAATCAATCTTTCACAAAAAAGACTACAATGGTTGCGCTGAAAGTGTCGCAGCGCACTATCAAATGAGGGTGCTGGATCATTTCCAAGTTTCATTACAAACGATAAGGACGTAACTTATGCGGCTATGAAAAATGTTTTAACTAATTAAAATTAACAAGTGATGAAAATAACAAAGGGTTTGTTTCAATACAACTGGGCAGCCTCAATACTAATTATGTATAAAATATTAACATTGAGATTAAAATAGGAGCCTATGGAAAACATTGAGGATAAACAATTAGCGAGAAATTACTGAACATACAACAGCAGGGATTTTATATTAACATTATTGTACACCTGCCTGTCAAGACATGATCTAGCACAATACCCCAATAAAGGCATTTATAAATTCTGTTTGTATAAATCTACATCCACAAGTTTTAAACAGCCAAAAAATTGCTCAACTCTTAAAAAGTTGCATACTACAGAAACTGTTAGTGTTTGCAAGGCTACTGTAGACTGGTATGAAAATGTACAGACAGACATTAGTCTGCCTGGCCTATCATGTTAAATGAAATAAGAGAAAACAGGTAAAAAGATGCCAGATCTGTCAAGTTAGATTAAATAAGAGACAACAGGTAAACAGATGCTAGATCTGTCAAGTTAGATTAAATAAGAGACAACAGGTAAACAGATGCTAGATCTGTCAAGTTAGATTAAATAAGAGACAACAGGTAAAAAGATGCCAGGTCTGTCAAGTTAGATTAAATAGGAGACGACACGTAAACAGATCTGTCAATTTAGATTAAAAAGGAGACGACACGTAAACAGATCTGTCAAGTTAGATTAAATAGGAGACGACACGTAAACAGATGCCAGATCTGTCAAGTTAGATTAAATAGGAGATGACACGTAAACAGATGCCAGATCTGTCAAGTTAGATTAAATAGGAGATGACACGTAAACATATCTGTCAAGTTAGATTAAATAAGAGATGACACGTAAACAGATCTGTCAAGTTAGATTAAATAGGAGATGACACGTAAACAGATCTGTCAAGTTAGATTAAATAGGAGATGACATGTAAACAGATCTGCCAAGTTAGATTAAATAAGAGACAACACGTTAAGTAGCTGCCTGACCTGTCAAGTTAGACGAAATAACAAATGACATGTAAACAGTGGCTTTATCTGTCAAGTTAGATGAAAAACAAATGACATGTAAACAGCGGCTTTATCGGTCAGGTTAGATGAAAAACAAACGGCATGTAAACAGTGGCTTTATCGGTCAAATTAGATGAAAAACAAATGACATGTAAACAATGGCTTTATCGGTAAAGTTAGAGAAAAACAAACGACATGTAAACAGTGGTCTTACCTGTCAAGTTAGATGAAAAAATAATGTATAAAAATGTTAAAATTCAAAACAAAATAAAAAGAACTGCCTGAAATCTGCATTATTTTTACTGTCAGAATTTACCATGTGTTCTAGGGTGATAAATGACAAGAGTGAAGTGACTCCTGCATGAGCCCAGTGTTCTAACAACTCTGCCATCCACTTCTCACTTACAACTGTATGAAATGAGACATTGGCAAAAGCTGTTTTCCTTGCAATGGTTTCTACAAAAGCTATGAAAACAAAACAAAAAAGGAATAAATACCTTAGAGGGCTAGATTTAAAAAAAAATGTATTTAAATCAATAGCATTTAGGGAAAAAATTGTAATACCTGCCACTGGCGGTGTAGGCTGAAATGTAGATGCTGCTGAGGTTGGGGTTGGCGTGGGTACCTTTGGGGTGTTTGTAAGGATGACTTGATTGGCATTCTCCTTCTGGGGCTTCATGGGTGTCCAACTGCCATCCTCATGAAATATGATGTCAATACAAGACGGTGACTGGCGGCAGATCTCAACAAAATACCTACAAGTAAAAATTAAATACCAAAAGAAAAAAATAGATGAATTATGTTTGGACTTAGTGTGAATAATAATTAATGAGTGGGAAAGAATCAAATTATGATTTTCAGATTATAAGATGACCAAGACCTGTGTTCACTGACTTTTGGTCTAAAAGTCGCAGACTGGCATTAAATTTTCAGAACAGTCTGTAACAATATTTCTTCTTCTGAGTTTTCACTAGCTATAAATACCAGTGAAAAGTTCTGTTGTTAGTCCACTTCTGGACTTGGGTTCAGTTCCAGACTAGAGCTTTGCATGCACATCGATTTTAGAGCTTTGGCTCATTAATAAGCAGAATGTTGATCCCTCGCCTCTCAAACAGAAGCACTAAAACTCTGAAGGAAACACCCCTAATTAGTCCTATTTTTACAACACGCTTACTGGGCGCAGTGAATCTATTCTTGACACCCCCCCCCTCTTGGGAGGACCAACATTTGCCTAAACTGTTATAAATCAACTAATGTAATCAAATGCTACTGCAGCAACAACAAAAAACAACTGGTCATAACTTGGTTTACATAACAGAGTCAAACCTGACTTACTTGTGGAAGACAAAGTTAGCAAGGTAAGATCCCAACAAATCCCATTACCGCCATTCACTATCCACCAACACACACACACAACAATTAACAGACAAGCGGTACATACCCATCTATAATGAGCTTGTCGTATGGACATGGTCGATCACAAACCGGACACATCCATGTTGGTTTTCGCTCATTCATCATCAGGAATGTGGCGGCATCAAAGCACTGCAGATGTGTACATGTACTGGCTCGACAAGGGATCTGAATGCGCATCTTCCCCAGCTGCAAACAAGCACATCAAATAACGACTAAGCAATTTAGGGTATTTACGGCTCTGTTATTAGACTTAATTTTTTTAAACTACCAGACATGGAAAACGACTATACCAATACCAATAACCCACGAACATTTATTAACTGGTGCTACAAAGACCAGAAGGCTTAGGATAATTACTTAAGCCAACATTTACCATCTCATGGTAGTTAAAGAGACCGGGGAAATGTGGGGTGAGATACCTGCATGTAATGGCAAAGATGATTTGGTGTGAGTTGATTGAGGGCGTATGTGCTTCATTAGAAGTTAAAGGGCAAAAGGAGGAGGTCATGACAGGAGGTAGCAGAAACCAGATCCGTCTGTAGTATTTTCATAACACAATTTCAATAACATAAAAATCTTCAAAAACTTTATACTCAGAAATTGTGGACACATCAGAGGAGAACTTTAGTGACTAACCCAAATCAATGTACTGGTAAGCAGCAAACCTATATATACCACAGCATGACGACTACTACATTGTTGCAAGTGGCTATTTTTCATCCGCAAGTCCTTCGATCAGCAAATTACATGCAGCTACTTCTGTGATGTTTTTCTTCTGCCTTTCATATATACTCCACAAACGTCTTCTTAATTATTTTCACAGGATGTAAACTCCACGAGAAAGGTCTGGTTGTTTATCCACTAACGGACCTTAGTCCAGCTCAGAATCTGAGTTTTGCATTTACAACCATCTTACAGATCTGGCTTATTTGTGCGCAGACTGTTTTGGTTTCTCACTTCTCAGGCAGATGCACTCCAACTTCGAAGGAAACACCCCTAATCAAGTCTTTTATGGTATGCTTGCCCAGTCTCCCCCCCCCCCCCCCTAGTCACCTTCCATAACACACATTTTTGTTCTACATTTTAGGTTTAATTTTACTGTTTCTGATTTTTAGTGACGCTGTCACTTCTGAAGAGTTCAAACCCGGACTCTTCCAAAATAGCCCAACCACCTTTAAAGATGTTTTATTTTTAAAATGGTGAGCTAATGCATGTAAACTTAAAAAAAAAAAACATCCATACAACGACCTACCGGGCACATAAGAGAAACACGTAGACTTGTTGTAGCAATTTCACTATCAGGATCTTGAGCCAACTTCTCTTTGACTGAAAAATATTTATGAGCATTTAATTAAGAAAAACACACAATTGCAATCATAAAGTTGATTCTGATTCTGACATTACAATGTCAGGAATTCCTAAGCCTGAAATATTCAGACACACAATTTTAATCATAAAAGAACCATCAAGCTTTACCAGATGTTTGCTCTACATCAAGGAGAATTCGATAAATATTAAAAATGTGACTCTTGTGTTTACTGTTTACTAAAATCTGATGGATTTTGCGCGCGCACGTGTGTCTGAGAAAGAGAGAAAAAGGGAGGGAGGTGCAGAGAGGGGAGAGGGAGGGGGAGAGAGAGGGAGCTAGGAGGATGGGGGGGGGGGGGTTGACCGTAAAGTTTGTGTTAGGCTTCAAATATTTTTTTGATGGAAACAGTTTTAAGAGTTTTAACCCTATCAGCACAAGAAGGCCCTATCTCATCCCTGCTGGTTGCAACACAGACCCATAAATGTTGATGTAATTTCTTCACACATCCAGACAGAATTGAAAGGGCTATTTGACAAGGAAGAACAAAACAGTGAGCAGAGACGTACAGACTAGGCGGGAAGCACAGAAGAGACCAAGCATGCAAACAATGGACAGAGGGAACAAGAGTCCGTGGTAATCTCCGTTTACAAAGTGCACAAATGGGCACTTTCCCGTAAACTAACTCTTCACCTCGACACCGCAAGGTGCCAAAGGATCAAGATGAGATGGTTCATTAACCTCTAGGCTACAGAAAACTGAGATTTAAGCCTAGGTAAGTAATGTTTCTCCCCAAAGTTTCAAGTATTTTACTTTCTTTCCTCATCCTCACTATATTCAAGGATATTCAAGAAATTAGGTCTAAGTCTGCATAATGCCCTATCTAGATTCTGATTACTCTCTATTAAACATTCTAATCCAAAATATTTTAAAATGTATAACAAGCTGTTAAGAGGATAGATGCAAAGTCAACCAAATGCCAAACAATGATAAGTGACAGAGGAACCCACACATACTTAATGCTTTGGTATGATCAGAATGCCTATTGCCAAACTGCTTGAGTCTGGTCAGAAGTGTATCAGATGTCAGTTTCCTCACAAGGTATACAGCCATGCAGAAGCTCTGGGGAAAAAGTCAGTTTATAACAGTTAAAACAATAAATGTAAAACTCCATCTGTGATTTATTACCACTTAACTGAGTCCCCCTTATAGGGCATTATTACAATATGAGCATTAGTAAAATTAATATAAATCTTTTATTATTTCAGTGAAATACCAAATTTGGGATTTTGTGTGTACCAGATTGCACAACCAGACCTAAGGCCCTGACCTAACTGCCCCCTATACCTGGGCTCCTAGGCATCAACACAAAAAACACAACATGATATTCAAAAATATTAGTTACAAGCCAACAAGTGGTTAGAATAAGCTGCAACTTGGAGACATTGTAGAAAATAGGTTTACATTTCATCTAGCACCAATATTCCACCTTTGTGTGAAATTCCACCCAGAAAGATCGGCATTGTTTCACAAAGTGAGCACCAGATGATGTTTGAGGGACACGCCCCTCTCTTACTTTCGATCTAGTTTTAAATCTATAATTTTCAAGACTCTCCTCATCCCCCTGACTGCATCACTTCAACTAGGAACGTATTAAAGAAATTCTGACTCCTCAGGAGTCTAAATCAACCAAAGTATCGATCACCTGTCGGAATGTGAAAAGCCTAGACCTACTTCACTTCCCTGTAGAAGTGCCTGGTTTATCAAAGGCTTGTTTTATTGTGAATTTTCATAATTTTTCCCCGCCAAACCACACAAAGAAAATCCAGACACACGTGGGCAGCAATTCGCAATGACTATCCACGAGATCTGATTACAACTGGCTAGTTATTTTTAGTTTGTGGCGCATTGTTTTCTCATAGTACGCAAACTCCAGACATTGAGGGACAGCGGTTTAGCGGCAGGTTAGGACATTCCTGTGATAGTGGGCCAGCGGTCTGGTAGAGTTAGAATACAGTGTGATGATCACTGATGTGGCTTTCTGTTGTGAAAACCAATCTTTTTATCCCCAGCAATTTTTGTGTGCTTAAACTCATCTGGCTAAGAGGAATTTTTGTGCTTTCTTTCTATCTGACCACAAATGACGTCACAAGACAGTCCAATATTTTAGAGGGTAGTAAGGTTTTTTTTTCCCGTGTTATGGCGCGTTTCTTTCAAGGCCAAGGTTTTTGCGCGTTAACCCAACACTAACTCTAAACCTTCATCCTAGCCAAAACAATACGCTTAATCTACCACCCCCTTGAAATATTTGACTGCACCGTGAACTGCGGATTTCCTCTACTTGTGGTCGGCTACTAAGAAATAAGAACCGAAATTTCTAATAACTTTGGGGGGGGGGTGGGGGGTGTCCCTGAGTTCTTACAGGTCTGCACTGCATACAGCAACAGAAATAGACTTGGATTTTATTTATGGCGATACTGGTGAACAGAAATCTACGTCTTCTCTTCCTCTTACAAAGATTAAAACTTTAAACCCTTTGCATCAATTTTCTGGATATAAACGTTGAAAACTATTCCCAATGTGGCTGCTAATGGTCAAAACTGGAGTTGGACCTCTTGATAGAAGAGATCTGGAAAAAATTTGAAAACCTGTCAAAAGCGTGACAGTTTGAAGTTACCACACATATGCAGAAGGAGGCAGTCTCCTATCCACAGACTGTAGGAAACGGGTTTAGAGTCACCTCACAATCTTAGTTTATTTTCAGCTAATTACACTGATAGTTCAATCAAGTGTGATATACCATGGGGTGCAATTCCCATTCTGTTATACTGACTATATATTCAGGGCAACATTCAACGTCGCCTAGAATGATTGAAAAACTAAAAAATAGGTACACATGGCATTATGGCGATAAAATGACTGCCATGAAGTTGAATGTTCAGCTTAAAGATGTCTCAGAGGTGGTCCTCTTCTTCATTATTCACCAGCTACAGCGGGAAATTCTAGTTGTTTGTTCACTTCTGGTCTTGTCCCAGAACTTGAGTTTTGCCAGCACATACATTTTACATATGTGACTTGTACGCAAGCTGGTGGTTCCTTGCCTCTCCTGCAGATGCACTTTGACTTCTAAGGAAGTCCCTAGCTAGCTGTCTTTTACTACATTCTTGTTAGGGGGATAGTGGGTCTATTCTTTTAACCCCAAAATGGAGCCCCAGAATCCATCCGGGGATATCAAGTTAATGTGCTCCCCATTTGGATTCTGAGGCCCCACTGTAGGGAAAATAAGAATAGACCCACTGCCTCCTTAACAAGCATTTCATGATAGTACTATTTAGGGACTTCCTTTAAAGTCATAGTACATCTGACAGAGGCAACAAACAGTCTGCATACAACTAAGCTAGATCTGTAAAACAGATGTGCAGGCAAAATTCAATAGCAGAAGCAAGACTAGAACAACCATAACTTTCTGCCAGCCATAATTTTAAAATGTATGTTTTAATCTGGAAAGGGTGGGGGTGGGGGCTTTTACACCATTGGAAATAACAGAGACAGTTTTCAACCAGCACATAACAACATTTCTTCCTGGCAAATATTAAAAACATAACGAATGGTATCCAAAAATTTGGTTACTTAAAAAAAAAAAAAACTGCAACAATCATGCAAAAACCACAAACAAAAAGCAAGTCCACAAAACTTAACAGAAAAGGAGTTAGTTAAACATGTGCCCCAACTTGAACATGGGCAAAACTAATGGTTACTGCAACCAAAACGTAGTTTAATGATACCGCGTGTTCATCAGGAAGCCAGGAAATATAAATGTTATTGCCATGTGAAGGACTGAGTCTGCACAATGGTGAAATGTCAATGGGACATCCAAATTTCTTAGGAGGAGCTTTGTTATGCAGTGGCAGAGGTTTGGGCTGAAAAAGACAATTCCATTGCAAGATGTTAGTCAAGATTTTAGCACTAGTGAAAGCTCATACCTTAGTGAAATCAGCTGCCCACGTTACTGTTATGGCATTGGACACTGTTGGGGACAATCTGCAAAGGCTTGTGATGTCCACCGGCCGACCTGGTCGTTTTGGTTCTACGTTAGGTTTATTAGTTGGTATAACATTCTGAAAGTTCCAAAGTAAGGTTTAGAAAATTCACATGAATATAGTCTTCTCTTTCCTGGATTTACATAAAAATATTCAGCTTTATTGTACCTGCCTGACTCAAAAACTATATAAAATAAAAATAAGCTCATTATATAAATAGAGCGAAGACATGGAAAGCCACCAAGTCAATTATTAGTAAACTACAAACATTCATTATTTGGTGCCTGTGCAGAATAGAGGGAATTCAATGGTATGATAGAATCACTAATGTAGAGTTTTGGGAGAGAACCAAACAAGTTCCACATAGAGATATGCACACACCCATCTTTGCCCTGATACACACCTATTTGTTGTTAGCACATTTCCATCTTTCTATACAGCAGTATTATATTCTGCTATTGGGATGCACAAGAATTACAGCCCATGGCAATGGCAGCTAGCAACGCTCATTCACATTAGGAATAATCTTCCAGTTACAGGAGCCTAGGACTGCAGGACCAGAGTCTCCATCGCATATATTTTAAGTGTTTTCTCAGATGCTTGGCAGCTGTTTTTTTTAAGGACCTTTTTCAAGGCCTTCAGGCATATTGGGCTAGACCTATATTTTATAAACCAATTGACACTCTGTGCGCTGGCTGCCTTTACTTCCCATGACTTTGCCTGGTAACCATGGTATTTTTTTTTTTCAAGTCTGACTCCTTCAGGAACTGAACCAAAGACCTTTTGCTCTTAACCTACCCGCAATCATTTTCTTATTTAAGCCTATTTCTTCCTCACTTCCTTCTCCGTACCCATTTACACTAAATCAAACTGCAGACATTTCAGGAAAGCTATGAGCATTATATTCTGTCTCGATTTACAATCGTTTAAAAGCATCCAGTCAGTAAGTCTATAATGTGTTACAATCGTTTAAAAGCATCCAGTCAGTCAATCACTCTACAATGTGTTACAATCATTTAAAAGCAGCCAGTCAGGCAATCAGCCTATAATGTTAAAAACTAGTACACAAAACCGACAAAACTTATAACCTTTTCTACCTTGCTCAAATATAAACAGCATTATCACAGTCTTAACAAATACTGACATCACAAATGGGAAATGCTGAAGTGCTAAAAGCTTACAGGTAAAGTTGCTGGCTTGTTATTCACTCGAACTTGAATCTGTGATGGAAACGTGTCTGCTTGTTCACAGGTAGTCTCCAGTAGACAGAATCTGATTTGTACCTGAACTGTGTATTCACATTTAGCACCAGGTCGGAAATCTCTGTGACAAAAAAATTAACACCTTTTAAAAAAGACAAAGCAAAGAAGTAAATGAGGCACTTTAGCAGTGAATTAACAAAAAGCTAACCCAGAAAAGAAAATTAATAGGTAAACATAAATCGGTATAACCAGAATGCAATGGAATAGTGTTACAATGAAAAAGTTAAAATGCAGAATGGCCGAAGATGATCAGACCAGGAGGAATATTTTCAGAACAAAGCTAGTCTGTCTTTAATATAAAGTGTAATTTATGCATCTGGCCTTAAGTAAATGTTTAGCAGAAAGATAAGTAATAAGAACAGTTTTTTATTTTTTTTTTATTTTGCTAAAACAGCTCTATATCAGTTAAATGAAAATAGTTCTGAAAGTAAAGTACCCTTTTCCACGCCTTTAGGCGTATAGGGTTAGACCTATATTTATATAGACCAATTGACACAAGATGGATACTGTGGTCAGCATCACACCAGCCGCCTTTACTTCCTGGGACTGCACCCGGTACCCACTCAAGGCTGGGTCAACCTGGGAGTCAAGGTCATTTTTGAAGAAAAAAATCCGGCTCCATCAGGGAGCAAACCAACGACCTCCTGATCCGTTGTGAAAATAGTTCTGAATATAGGTATTTTTATGAAATAACTTACCTCGACATAGTAATATCTTGGGCCTGTTGGGGTGTAAGATGGAAGACAAACAGTGTCTCTTGCATCCTTGCAGAGTTTTTCGGTACTGAATTTCAAAAGTAAACAAAAAATATCATAGCAAAAATTCACATAAGAAGTACACTCCTAAAGTGAATTACAGATAAAAATTACAAACAACACGCCCGTTTCCTTAACCAGCTCTGTAAATGCAGAGACCATATTTCCTCTTTTTAATCATACAATTCGTGTTCAAAATGTTTGTAATTTTTCATATATTTTTTTTTCTCTGCAGATTGTGAAAAGCACACTAATAGTTTACTAAACAACAAAACACAAGTTTATTTAGAAGAATTTCTCAAAAAGAATGATCACACTTAGTGAGAATGACCTTTTAAACATAACAAACAGATAAAATGTTTAAGAAAGAATTTCAAGATACAGTCACTGTTACTAGTAATGAAAGGTCTTGCATTCTCAAGTTTGAGCTAGAAAAGGTAATAGATTTTAGACAATGTAGCATTTACAAACAAACAAACAAAAAAAAATTCACAACACTCAAAAACAGCAGCAGAAATTAAAACACTTAGCCATGAATAATCAAGTCAAGGCTCCTGAGCCAAACAATGATAATGCTACTAAAGATTATTGATGACAAAATAATAAAATGTGGGCAGTACATGCAAGTCTGACTTCTTTTACCTGCAGGCTTACATACTTTGATCTGGTCTGTAACTTGGCTTTACATATTTTTCAATAAAATGGCGCTCAGTAAGTCGTGATGTTGTGACATGTGGTCTTGAAGGTATTATGTTGTGCCAAAGAACATCAGGTCTGATAAGAGCAAGACTGACATCCTACCTCAACCTCTTTGCTGTGATCTTATTCGTAGAGTTGGCAGTGTTGTAACTTATATGCCAACTGACCATAGCAGTTTCAACTATTCAAAAAAAAAAGTTTAATAGAATGGCAGGTATCATTTATAGGATCTATGTGGGTAGGGGTAGCTTGCACCCAGCTGGCCGAAGTGATGGACACCCCTCACAGAAATACTTTTTTAGTATTTCTCTGCAAAAACTGGCTTGTTTATATTCTGCCCTCAAGAATTCCACTTTTTCTTACTGTCATGTCCATATCATTGGAGTATAAACAGTAGATATCAAGTTAACTTTTCGTGGCATGGCGGGTAACGGCCAACATGCCTTTATCTTCTGTCACAGAAAACAGGATGATCTGCCTTTTTCAGTTTCAGTTGCTTTTTCTACCAAAAATCAATTGGCACACACCCAATTGTGTTTGACATGACACCTTGTTTTTTTTGTATGGAGGAAGACTGTCAAGCGTAACAAGTTTATTTTGGGCAGCCTTTCTCCATTTTTAAACAGCATTTTCAGCTGTAGAAATGCTCTGGTCTTGTGTACCACGCCAACTTTCTTCAATATACCTATATCACCTCCATCATCAAGTCTATTATTGTTGTCACTACCTTCCGATGCGATATGATGATAACATTCTCATTGTATCCCTACTTATCCAGGAATTACCGCTTTCAGTGCTACAATCGCTGGCAGAATCATCAATATTACCAGTCTGGTTTTCGTCATCAGACATGATAAAAAGGCTTGTAACAAAAATTGTAAACATTTCACTGAAAGCAACGATTGTATCGACTCAAAGCAATACCAGTGGTAGGCATAGCCATCTTGAAAAATTTAATTACCAGGACAAAGCTCAATTCAAAAACTATTGATAGGATCGTCTGCAGTCTTCAGGTCACTAATTCCATGATCGCCGAAACTGATCAGCAAATGATATGACCGGAAATTCAAGGACTGTCAAATTTGGTCAGGAAAGTGTTAATGTGGTGGAGGCAAATTTGACAGATTGAACAAACACTTCACACACAATCAACAGTGACTATACTTACTCAGGCTAGAGGGTTTCATTATTTCCGCTAGAACATCATAAAATGGCAAATGCTTTAACTTGACGTCAGGATTGACAGGGATTGGTGGTGGCTGTGGCAGCAGTGACCTCATGCTGCTCATAGCAGAGTAGTCCAATCCACTAACTAAAAAAAAAAAACAAGAGAGAAAGAAAACAAGTTCATACACCACAGAGCAGTGCTGTTCAATAACTATCAAAGTCCTAGACAAGGGCCATTCAACTTAGGGGTCAACATGCTGAAAAAAGTGGATCGTTACAGATCAAAGGCCCGAACCCCAGCATCTGGCAAGTGATCCGAGGGGCATTTGCTAAACTGCAACCCAGATTTGGCCCATGGGCCATCAGTTGAATAGCCCTGTCCTAGACAGTGATTACTTTACAGCTGTGTGCTACCGCTCCCCTGTCAGCCACATCCATTATGTAATGACCAAATCTACCACTGCCTCAACTCTGAGTCCCAGTGAACGCATCATACGCTAATGTGTTACAACTGGGCAGCCCAATCGACGCGTGACAAGTGAAGGTTTTTAATCTACCACTGACTGGTCATCAAACGCAGACCGCTCAATTTCAACTCCCTTTCGAGTTCTTTGTGTCTAATATCTGGTGTGCTCATTTAGAAACGTGGTTTGAAAGACGAAAAAATAGTAATTTGCGAGATTTGACGAGTTACTAAGTGTTTGTTTAAAAAGAATATGACTGTCAAGCAGTATTCTACATGCACGCTAACATGATTTACGGCTTTAGAAACCTCAAATTTAAATAAATAATATTAGCTTTATCTAAAGTTAGATAATGCTGTGAATTTGACGTGTGTGTCAGTCAATTATAGTTTAACTTTGATAAGGGACATGTCTAATGTGTACCTCACGCAAATGATACGATAGCAAAGTCAGCTGGCACAAATAGAATAAACATTAGTGAAAAGACGTTTTTCTTCAGTGTCAGTTCTAGTGCTATTTCCCTTATTATTTATTAAACTTCATTTTGTGTGAAGATACTTATTGTTTTGGGAGTCAGTTTTCTTTACCAAATAATGGTGCTCTGTTATGATGCTTCAAAAGCCTGGAATAAAATCTACAGATTGAGTTTATATTTTACTTATACAATACTAAGTGGTTCATATTCATTTGGATTCATTTTGGATATATTTAACCAGTTTTCCTTGAGTGCCATGGTGGTAGGTGGAATTTTTAAAATTTCATTTTACTAATGTCTGTAAACATACTGTCTGTTTATTTACTAATATTTAATTACTAAAAAAATTATTTGTTGTAGCTGTATGCTATAATTATTCCTCAACAATCCCTGGTCACTTTGATGTATAATAATGTGTATGTTGCAGGCAACTGAATTAGGATGATCTGTTTTCATGTGTTACACTTGTAAAATTAAAACATTGGATTACCACTCCTTGGGTTTATGATGCTAAACCCCCTGGGACTCAAAGAGTTAATATTAATAGTAAACATCTTTGCTCTCCTAGATCCTCCCAGCAACACAGAAGGAGAACCAGGTCTAAGTTAACTTCTGACTGACTTAGAATTAAAGACAAAATTAAGTGAGATTTTGTTCAAGTAAGAGAACTCAGAACTGAACACATAATTCCACAATGCAAAACTGACTAAGATACAAGAAGCTAACACTGTATCAAACAAGCCACATTCCTAGACCCACTGCCATTGTTACTGCTTTTCATCTACTATTTTAAATGTGTATCATTTTCACTTGGGTTTAATATTGTGTTATGATATACAAATTATTAATGTGACCTGAATGTATGTCAGTCAAATTATTCGCTAATGCTTTATTTACATTTACGACTATAAGTTTGTGATAACAATTTGTATCAGAGGTGTGGTTTGTCAGAAAAATGCTTACAACTTCTCAGACAGCCAAAATAAGCAATCCAGATGCTTTGAAAGAGGCAAGGGTCCGAAGATAACAAATCAGAAACGTCATCATTTCAGTCATTTCTGACCACATTATTTTACATACTGTCTAAAACATGTGACCACTGAAACAGTGCAAGGATTTGTGGAAATTGATAAGATAGAGGGCGACAAGGAGATCAGCTCTCATTCTGATTCTTTAAAGCCTTTTTTTTTTAACCATTAACAACACAGAGGGGTGTCCAGCATATGAAGTGATACAATTGGTAATAGACTTCTGGTTGTGGAGAGGCATGAGATCGCCCACACCAGTCGTAAAGTAAACAAGGTCACCACTGCACTCAAAAGATTTAGATGATCTGATTTTTTTAAATAGTTTATAAGTTTTTTTTAATATATATTTATCGCACCCCCCCCCCCCCCCCAATCCACCTCGCTCCAAGTTGAAACTATTTAAGCTACTGGTATTTAAGTACGCATAAATAAACGCAACTTGTATTACTCAAATTACTGCCACTTACACTATAACTATAACAATAACTTTATAGAAAGTTACAACTTCCGCCTTCAGCTGTAAATTCAAAAACAAACACTAAGTTAAAACACGCCGCTCGGGCGGGCGCCCCACGGTGGCGACATCCTTTTTAAACTAGATTAGATAACTACACACAAGTGACGCCACGAAGCAATTCAAACTCCCTATGTTTCACAACATAACATAAACAAAATATCCGCGCCGTACACTTACAAGGTTTATGTTTCTCTTGCCTGTCATGATACTGTCTCCAGTTTTCTGCCATTATATCCCAGAATACGCAGTAAGTTCACTTGTTACCGACAACCTATACCAAGAACTTCATGACGCTCAACTACTTCCGCTTTCATCGACCACTTCTGGGCGGATCGCGCAAGGGCGGTTTTGACGCTGAATGTAACGACCGAATACCTTAATTGTTCCAACTAACAGTGCAAAGAGATAGGAATCGATTACAGTATTTCTCCATTGGGCTTGGACATAATTATAATAGGTATTTGTAACAGTCGCTTGTGGTGTGGGGGGGGGGGGGGGGGTCTAAAGCACGATAGTTAAATTACTTAGCTAAAAAATTAAAGTTAAATAAAGTCTAGAGGATCGACTTTATCCAATATGGCCTGGTCTCTTGTCACACAACGGCTAACCGTCAGATTCGCAACAAGCTTGAAATCCGTAGCCTACGAACCCCAGGGATTTCCATAAAATGCAGCTAGTGAACTGAATGAACAGATACATCCTGAAACGGTACAACGAGGTCAGAGTGGTATGGTTTAACGGATCAATTACATGGCACAAGGGTTGTAACCCATAAGTGCTTCATTCTACTCCTAATTTAAGCCTGAGTCGAAAGAATCTCATCGCAGTGCACGAACTCAGTTGCAGCGGCAAGGATCCTGAAATACTTTGGGTAGATTTTCAACTCCAAATTTTGCCAGGGCAGCGCGCTGTCAGACTACTGTTTTCAATTTCCAACTGCGCAACAATACATGTGAACGTCTGATCTTACTACCCAGAGACCCTGGCTCGCTAGCACTGTTGGCTAAAATAACCGGAATGTGCGGCAAGGGGATGACAAAGTCCTCTTGGTCTGGAGGTAGGCAGAAAAGCCACATTCCTCCCAGATTTATGGTTATCTATCATGGAATCAAGGCTGAAGGGTTGCAATATCCATAGTACTGAGCCAAAGGATTAACAACTCATGGTTTCTGAATACTTACAACAACAAAAGCTACCAAGAGACCAGGGAAATTACTAGAAGACCAAGTGAAAAAATCCCAGCCTTCATGGGACGTGAACCCGGGACCTCCAGCACTCGAGGCAGACACCACATCTCGAGACCACTCAGTCCCCAGTGTGTGGTGTGCGTGTATTCGTGGTCAGAGTACACACCAATAAACTCAGGGTTCGAATATGACACTCTACACACCGCGAGAGCAAAAATAAATGGTGAAAAATGTGCAGAAAGAAGCACTAGATTCTTGTCTTAACATTACCGGGTCTTGCTGATCACACTCGTCAATAGCCGTGATTACATGACTCACTGTAGCTCAATATAACTATCATCTGGAAAGATGGACCCGTTCCAACATGACAATTTAGACTACATGAACAATATAGATAATAACAAACACAGCTCTGGACTTCTGATTCCGATCTCGGCCGGCTATAAGGTGGGATCAATGAGAATGTGTGTCCAGAGATTAAATATATGAATATCGAATGAGAGTTTGTGACGTTTATAACTTAAGGCTATTACCAAAAAGGAAGGTGGGGTGGCAGAATGTAGGAAAAAGAAAACATATTGTATACATAGTCCTGTTTACAAGACAGTCCAATTCCTGTTATGCAGTTTTTCAAGTGCTTTGTCCAGAAAAGGCATCACCAATCATACACTCCAAACTTCATTCAAGTGTTTTATCTAGAACAGATATCACAGATCATAATCCCAATCTTCATTCAAGTGCTTTGTCGATAATAGGCATCACCAATCATGACTCAAATGTTTTTTCAAGTGCTTTGTTGACAACAGGCATCACTGATCATGATTCCAATCTTCATTCAAGTGCTTTGTACAATGAGCATCATCGATCATGTAGGTCATTTTAATGCAGCTGTTCACATTATTCCATTTACTAGCCTCCCCATTCCTAGTGTTTCCACATTAGGAAAATTAGATTTCTCTATTCCCTATTTTCTGTAGACTGCATTTGTCAAAAAGAGAACAAGAAATACTCAGTCAATCAAGATGAGAGAAGGCTCTTCTAAAAGAAGAATGACGACAAAGTGTTGAGAAAGTCAAAAGGAGTCCAGATCGTCGATGTACCTCCTTAAGGAAAATCTCCAGAATGGCACTGGAATATTACAACTTTGATGTAGGAAGAACAGTAGAGGTATCAGGAGAAATTAAATATTATGGGATTAGTATTTTAGGATTAAACTAGATGGACCGGGGCAGGGAAAATTATTATTAATTCATTGGAAACTATTTTTTTTTCCTCAGGGCATAAAGGAAAATGTTTTCCCCACAGTGAAGGAGTGGCCCTGATGCTACTGAAGAAGGCAGAGAAGGCACTTACAAAATAGGAAGCTGTGAGATCTAGAATAATAAGTGTGTCATTTAGAACAACGAAACAAAAGTTGAACATATCAATAATATTAAATCATAAAGATGAATCAGTTCAGGAGGAACTTTACATGCAACTTCAAAATATTTTGAATAAAAACAGAAAAGACAATTCACAGTTACGATGGTCTGGACATGTATGCAGAATGGGAGAAAATCGGCCACCATGGCAGGCATGGGAGGTTAAGAACTAGGAAACCAGATTTCCAGCGTGCGCTGGGAAGACAACATCCGACAGTCCCTAACTGACAGAGGATTGGAATTGAACAAAGCCAGAAAGAAAACTGCTGATCGAGACATCTGGCGAACTCTCTAGCAAACCTCTACACACCATGGTAGAAGAGGAGCAACTAAAAAGTAAAGAAAATACAATATAAAATGGGCTATCCTCCAAATAACGGTCCCAAATTATTGAGGCCGAAAATATATCCTAACAGGGCCTCAGTCACATGTAAATTGCAGACCACTTCCGGCGACTACACAGCATACTGCCGAGAGTATCTCCACACCGCTACGCATGGCGCGAAGCGGGGCTAAACTTGATGGCTGGGACTCACGAGCAAATAAAATGGAGGAAGCTGCATGTAATGTGGTAGCTGCTGCTCGTGAGTCCCAGCCATCTAGTTTAGCCCTGCTCCGCGCTGCTCGCAGCGGCGCGGGAGATACTCTCGGCAGTGACTTTAACTCGGCAGAAGCTTTTTCACGGTATGCTGTGTAGTCACCAGAAGAGGCCTGCAATTTACATGTGGCTGAGGCCCTGTTAGGGTATATTTCCAGCCTCGATAATTTAGGACGTTATTTAGAGGATAGCCTAAAATTTTGGTTCTTTCACGTCTGCTCTTCAGTCTTGCTCCAAAATGTTAGTTCTGTGAGCACATCTGTTTCACAGATCTGGCTTACATGTATGCAGACTGTTGGTTCTATGCCTCAGGCAGATATACTCTGGCTTTAAATGAAACATTCCTCATTAATCGCCTTGTATGGCAATGCTTGTTAGGGGCCAGTGAGTCTGTTCTTTTCCACCCGTAATATGAGACATCAGAACCCACATAGAAATTAAACAGAAGTCAAGCGGAGGATGGCCATAGCAATGCAAAGGTAAGTCTGCATTAAAAGTCTATGGTTCAGCATCAGCAAGGAAATCAAGGTCAACATTCTTTCCTGCAGCCACATATGAATGTGACTCATGGACTATCCTGCAGTCATTAAGGAAGAAAACAGGGACTTCTGAAACAAAGTGATATAGAAAGATTCCAAGAATACCACAGACCAGTGTTTCCCAAATCTTTCTTGGTCACAGCCCCTTTTTTCAGTAAAAATTTTCCATGGAGCCCTAACATAGGAAAAAGTATGACTATTCGTGTCTTGGTTAAAATAATTATCACACTTTTACAATATATCGTAGCGCCCGTGTGAAGAGGTTGCGGCTCCCCAGGGAGCTGCAACGCACAGTTTGGGAATCACTGCCATAGACCAAGAAAAAAAAGAATTACTCACATCCTAATGGATATGACAAAAATGACCTTGGCTCCCAGGTCGACCCAGCCTTGAGTGGGTACCGGGTGCAATCCCGGGAAGTAGAGGCGGCCGGCGTGATGCTGACCACATCACCCATCTTGTGCCGTTGGTCTATAAAAATATAGGTCTAGCCCTATAAGCCCTATACGCCTAAAGGCGTGGAAAGGGTCCTTTACTTTTTTTTTTTTAATGGATATGAAACCAAGGAAGACTGGCTAGTAAACAGTATCCTGTCCCATAATTGAAATATTTTGGCCAGTCCAGCGCTATGATGGTTGAAAAGAAAAGCAGCAGAAAGCATGGTGCCAGAGGGGAAAAAAGGGACAGGGACCAACCAGCACACCTTTTGGGGACACGATATATAAGTGACAACTAGGGTAGGAAAATGCGCAAAATGGAAGATCTGGTGACAGAGATTCTTTCAGACAGATCCTGATGACAGTGAAATTTTGCAAAAGGTGAAGCTGCAAGTTGATGATGTAATAGTAAACAGTATATCAGAGAAACACATTGGGGACAAAATAAAAAAAAAACAAAGTTGCACATATACAGGTTATCTATAATCTTAGGGTCTCCTGATATCCAGCATTCTGCTTACTGTTTTATCATAAAGGACAGAAAAAATAGTTGTTATAAAGGTATAGATAGTTGTATAAAGTGGCAGAAGGACAGCAGTTACATTGCATTAACATACATTTGCTATGAATGAGTGCATCAACATCATAGAAACACAAATCCACTGTGTAATAGTCAGCAAGAATAACTGACATACTGTGAGTGTACGTTAAAATTTAAAAAAAAATGATCTGCTAATCATAAATCACTTGAAACAGTAAGAAAGATAGGATCCTGTGTTTGTAGAGAGTACTACACAGTCATGCTTACTTGGCGAATCTATGTGGGCAGAAACATATATTAATATAATTAATATGCACAACAACAACGTGGACGCCATAAATGATAGACACTCTGCTCAAATCAAAACAGCAAAGAAAAAGTTGTGACAGAAACTAAAGTACAAAGCCTAAAGAAAAGACAACTTGTAGAATGGTGGGATAACAAGAAAAGAAGTGATAAAATGATAACACAAATAGTTACATACAGTTGTGCTGTATGTTAAGGTCATGTGAAGACACACATCCCATCAAGAAAATCAAATGGTTTTCAATTGTTCTAACATGTCTTTAATCTGATAAGCATATTAAAACCTCAACAATGGAAACCCTAAAGAAGGGCTATTTAACTGGCAGCCCATGGGTCAAATCTGGACTTTGGCCTTGTTCCAGAACTCGAGTTTTGGGTGCACATTTGTTTTACAGAGCAGATCTTGCTTATATGCAGACTGTTGTTTCCTGCCTCTCAAGCAGACGCACTCTGACTATGAAGAAAATCTCCCCTAATTAGTCGCCTTTTACCACATGCTTGTCAGAGAGGTTGTGGGTCTATTCTCCCTTCTCCCCCCTCCCAATAATGGGGGCCCTGGAATCCACTCAGGGAATCCCGTAAACAAGTAGCTACTGACAAGTCAGAAGAGTGACATTTACTGGGAAATGGGCCCAACCAGAAGTGCCAATTTTGCAGCATCTTGAGATGAAAGGCTTAATATAAATTATTCCGCACAACACCAACCAAAGATCAAACACATAAGCATTTTAAATTTTGTGTATGCCCAGGACAGAATATATGCAGAATTTGTCAATCTTTTTCTGCAGAAGGCAAACATTCAATGCTTATTTTCTGAATCACACGGTAGTGATCTGGCACAATAACTATAAACATCACATAAGCCATAGCCATCAGAATGTACATCAGTCTTTTTGTTCCATATAAAAAAAAGATAATGGTAATCCCACTGGGGTCCGAACTTGTTGGCCTCAACATATTCTAGGCCACCATATATGAGGTTAGGTGGTTAGCTCCCTTTCTCACAACATTCTTTTTCAGCAAATGATGAATATTAATTTTTGCCAGTTTGTATTATCTTCTTTCTTCTTTTCTCTACTCTAGGAATGCCTTGCGGCATTAGGCCAGGAAAAGACCTCTAGAACGGGTCCCATCTGTTTGCTTTGTATAAAGCAATATTCAGTGTTTCTGGTATTTCTGCAGTCCATGTTCTACATGGTGGACCTCTGACTGTTACCATTCTATCTGTATAGCACTGCTCTCTGTGGTGCCAAATCATTTGACCTGTTGTATACCTATAAATTTCGGCATTGGTTATGTGCTGACTCTTCTAAGAGGCTTTGGGTTTTTGAGGCCTGTGATTTTGTTAGAGGCTGGGTCAACCTCACAGAGACATACAGTCAGAATATTATCTTATCTCTGCTAGGTATTCTTTTTTCTTCTAAATGTTCACCAGCTATAAACTTGTGTGGAAAGTTCGCCAACTTCTGGACTTAAGTCTTGTTCCAGAACTTGAGTCTTGCATGCACATTTGTTAACAGATCTGACTTATTTGTATGCAGACTGTTGGTTCCCCACCTCTCAGGCAGATGTACTCCAACTTTAAATTAGTGTGCTTTTATAACATGCTTATTAGGAAGGTCGTGGGTCTATTCCCCCCCCCCCTCAATGAAACCCCCACTAGAATGCCAGGTATTAAACCCAGACCATTGTCTTGACAGGCTCGCACATAACCACAATACCCACTGGGCTCCATTATTCAGCAAGCATCATTATACAGTATTATCCGGATGTGCCCCACTATATGTAACACATAGCTCACAGTTAATTCTTCCATTCCATTCTATTTTGTTCAACTTCAAAATCATGGATATGAAATCCAGTCCAGCATCTGTGGTCTCTCTCATCGCCATTCGTCTTTTTGGGATTTCTTGTTTCCTTACTCCATTTGTTTCCCATTTAAGGCCTGTCTGGTAATACTATTAGTATATTAGGATGAGTTCAACATATCACTTTTTTTGTGTGTCTTAAATCTAAATACCAGCGGTTTTCCATACATTTCTTTTATAAATTATTTTTTCTTTCTTAGATTCATCCTACATAATGCTCCTCAGTTACTTTATTCAAAAACTCAGCTGTTAAAAACAGAAGAAGCAATCACTTACCAGGAGGATCTGCAGGGAAACCAACCATTCCTACAAGAAAATAAATTATAATTTCAACTAAATGAAAAATATACCTGTGACATATCATCAGAAATAAAACTATTAGTCATATTGGCCCATCATGTCTGCTTGTTATGCATTAGTGTATGGTTTATTTTAGTAACATTAGTTTGTTGAGTGAAAACATGTATAATTATGGACCTGTTTTGACGCCTTAAGATACTGCTACCTGACCTAGATTTGTACAGACCAGTCAGATTCAATGAGTTGGTCAATGCCACACGGGCTGCCTTGGTATTCCCAGTGAATGAAGTGCTATGAATGACTGGGTTGTTTTTTTAAACATAAATACCTTTTAAAAAAAAAGTTCAGTGACTGCTTCATATATCAGTACAATACAGTGATGGCCAAAAGTTTAAGACTATTTAGTAAGTAACTGACATTTCCATACTATTATTATACCAGCATCCACTGCAATTTTTTAGGGGGCAGAACAATGACTGCAATGATTGCCTCTGGTGGGTCCAAAAATAGCAGTGGATGCAATACTCTGTAACAACATGAAAAAATCAATTACAGTAGAACCTCGATTATCCAGACAGCAATATCAAGTTTTTTTCTAAATCTCGGTAATGAAATAAGGAACAACATACTTTGCGAAGTCATTGAAACTGGTCGTCACGTGTGCATAACACAGACAGACATTAAAGTGTGGGGTCATCCCCCCCTCTGAGTTAGGGACAGGAAAGTATGTTTGGACACTGGGCTGAAAGACGAATCAATCAAAATTGAAAAGGGGAGTGCTGCCCAATCTAGTGAAACAAGAGTAATTTGTGGACTTCCCTTTTCCGTAATCTTCTTCTTTTTCTGTCATCTCACTGATACTAGGTTGATGCCCAGTGTCGTAGCTTTCTGTATTTGTCTTGCACTTCTCTGGTGGCCTCAGTGATGGATTTGTTCATCTTTGTGCAGGTTTCAACTACACCATTTATCCATCCCTTTATTGGTCTTCCTCTTGCCTTTCTCCCCCTTTTTCCAGTAATAAATGTTTAAAATGTAAAATACAATAAATAAGAAACATTTATAAAGTATTGGCCTGTATTTAAAGGTCAGAAACCACAAATAAGAGCAGTTTTAGGTTTAAAAAAAGTTTTTAATTATGGATGAGGTAGAAATTGGGTATTTCTAGAATGCTGGCATATCTGTTGTTGTTTTTTTTTATCTGGTCTACTCTCAGAAACATTAGGTCAGCTATTGGAGAGAGAACTGTGTTTACAAGGTGGTTTTAAACTGTTGGCCACCACTGTACAATGATGCCATGTTCTGTCACAATGAAACTAATAGCTGTTTCATTCTAGAAAAAGTACTTTTTTAAACTACGGCTATAGCTGATTGTTTTAATGTCACTGCATAGGCAGCCGGCATTATTCTTTTTCTATAATCAGGATGTATAATGATTTGTTTAAAATATAGTGTCTATTTTTTTTTTTTATATCTTTTAACACTTTGATTATTTTCAAGTACTGGATAAAACAGTGCAAGATAACAGGTTTTTATCACGGTCGGCTGATAGAAATTACCAAGAAGGAATGCAAACTACTTCAGAAATAGCCATTAGAAAGATCCAGTTTTCTTACCTGGATGTCTATGCATCACTGGCATATTCCCTTCTTTGTGAGGCGACAGGCTGTTCAAGTTCTTTGCTTCTGCGTTAATTTGTCTTAATATGACAAAAGAAACTTTTATAAGTATACAAGAACAGAAAATGGTATGTGTCACTAAAGTTTCACAATTTACAAAAAAGGACATGTTTTCGGATTTTAAAATCCAAACTGGAGGTAGAAGACAAAAACATGATTCTTTAAAGCTGTGGTTATCAACCTTCCTAACGCTGCGACTCTTTAATACACTTCCTTATGATTTGGTGACCCCCAACAATAAAATTATTTTTCTTGCTACTCCATAACTTCAGTGAATATGTGTTTTCCGATGGTCTTAGGGGATCCTTGTGAAAGGGTCATTCGACCCACAAAAGGGTAGCAACCCATATGTTGAGAACTGCTGCTTTAAAGCATAATACCCATTGTCGAGAATTTCTGCAATTTTTTTTTCGCTTGGAATAAATGGCAAAACAAGCAAGTGAAGAGGGGGTAATGAGAGGTAATATAATTAACAGACATCCACTGATACTCATTGTACAGAATGATTTTTTTGAGTGAGTGGTGTTAAACCCCACTAGTGCCACACACTCAACAACTGACACCTGGTAAGGCAAAGTGCAAAAATGTCATTATTCCAATGAGAATCTACAAGATAAAAATCCCAGAAACCCCACTTAACCGTAATGTTATATTGGGATCCCCAACAGTTACAAAGTAACAAAGCTACCTGAAGGGTCCAGACAGAGTAGGGTGGTTGTGCTAATGATTCCTTGATTCTCAGGTCATTTTATGATGTCAGAGCTTCTTAGCTGAATTCAAGATCTCACTTGTCAAGTACATAGCTTCTCAGCTTTGTCTGCTCAGCAAGCCTACCAGAAAGCCTTTTTATGAATCAATCACCATTTTCTCTGCCCATATTTACCTCGTATCAGAAAAGTTTGCAAGATATGGAAAACCCCTTGTTTACTTCACAGTTAATGATAGTTTTAATCTTTAAGGATACTGAGGATACATTTTTGCCTAGCCAACCCCTGACTCCCTAAATGCAAATTCTGGACACTAAACTCAGAACACATCTTCAGTGAATAGGTCTCACTGGTTCTGCCAACATGGAGTACTACAGGAAAGTGCACAAGAGTGTTCAGATTTTGATAGAGAAAGGATATGGCCTACACGTAGTAACCCTTTCAGACAAACTAAAAACTAGGTTGAGAAGGAAGGGTGGGGCTTGTAAAGAACCCAACTATATCATTCTAATTGAGAAATGTCGGAAACAAAAGTAAATCTTTAAATACTGTTCATCAGACAAGTAGTGAACTGTCAGCAATAGAGTCATGGAATCAGTATATAACTATCTGAATAAACAGAGAACTGTGCACTTGTTTATTTTTCAAAAAATATGAATTTTAAAAGCAGTGTTCAACATCTGTCTTATTTAGGCTAACCAAATCCTCAAGCTGTCTAGATTTCCAAACTTTTGCAGCATATAATTTCCTTTACAATTTAAAAACTGAAGAAGGTATAGTCGACTGTTAATATGACATAATTCCCAGAACAAGGTACAGTTTGATCCGTGTGGGTTCATATTCGACCGCACTATTCAAAGTTTCAAATAGTAAAACCTCTTTATTTCTGTACAGTTAACATAAAAATGTAACATGAATTTTTTTTTTCAGAAACTACTCAAAGAAAGAAGCCACTTCAAAATGAATCTAAAAGCAGCATGTGAAAACATTTCTGAGAAGGTATTACAAGAGTTAATGCTTATCAATTAAATGTGTTATAAAAATGCAAAATCACAATATAACACCAAACACTCACTTCTCTAAGACCATACCTGAATAATTCTCTTATTTTTATCTGCACAGGCAAGGAGCAACCTTTCTGTACCAAAGCAAGAGCTCTCTGGGTTAACTCTTGTTTCCTACCACTTTTATTTCTGCCAGCAAATCCTAGTAACACATGCAGCTCTGAGACTCTAAAGCTCATTACCATTTGCTGTGGATGGGGGAGAGAAAACCAATGTGTTATAAATGTTCTGATAGCCATATGTAACTAATTTTATCAGAGTATGACATCTGATTGTTATTAGTAGTTTATTAGTTGGTGCTGTGTCTTATTTAATAAATCGCTCTCATTTAAAGTCAGAAAAAGGGTGCTGAAATGTTACATAAAACTTGTTTTGCTGTCTGGTATCAAATCTTGGAATGTCAGTGAACAAATTAGGAAGAATATGGAAGCAACAGAGATGTGGTTTCTGAGATGAGTGTTACAAATACCTTTGACAGCCAGATTAACTAATGATTGCTTGAAAGAGGCTAGTGAAAGTAGACCTCTATATACAACAATTGGCTCTCCTTTGAATTATTCCCCAAAATGGTGGCTTTAATATGATGGCGTTCGAAAGAGAGCTAAATTGGCCAATTTCTGGCCATAAAAAATCCAAAAATATCCGAATGCGGGTGAGTTCTATTAAAAATATATGTGCCGGCTCCGGATAACGAAACAAATGCTCTGACAGGGTCTCGGCAATACGTTACTTGCCGACCTGCTTCTGCGAGTGTGCCTCACCGCGAGCGTATCCCCCGCGCCGCTGATGGGGGCTTAACTAGATGGCTGGGACTCACGAGCGGCAGCTACCGCATCTCCTGCAACTTCCTCCAATTACTGTACTCGTGAGTCCCAGGCACCTAGTTTAGCTCCCATCCGCGCCGCGGGGGATACGCTCATTGATGCGTTTAATCGCGTTTGGCGCATGCCTACAAGTCTGACATCTACCGCTGCTAAATCCTCCAATCGGAAGAACACAGTATTGCTAATCAGCTTTCATCATCTGTAATGTCTCGAAATTGGTCAACGGTCGCTAATATCGTTTGCAGAAACGCTCGAAATTGTTGTCAACGGTCGCTATTTATCGTCTGCTACTAGTACCGTGTGCAAATGTTGATATTGATTGTCAAGTAATCCTAGTTTTGCCGCGATTTGTTCCTTAGCAGAAAGTCTGTATTTTAGATATACGCGAACACCGTCGTTCGGATATTTTTGGATATTTTATGGCCAGAATGTGGCATGTCGCCATTTTGGGGAATGATTCAAAGGAGCGCCCAACAATCAGAGACAAACACTGTTTTTTTTGGCCACATAATGAGAAGAGAGACATTAGAGAAAATTGTGAAAACTGGAAAGATCAGTGGAAATAGGGGTAGAGGCAGACCCTGAGAGATGATGCTTGATGGGCTGAAATGATGGCATGGAGGGATGCCATCAAGAGAGCTGTTCCAGGCAACCAGGGATCGTGATTTGTGGAGACGCATGAGCGCCTACGCCAGTTGGCAGGGCACATGATGATGATGATGAATTGTCTGTTTATAGTATAGTGCAATATTTTCTCATCTCAACATTTACATTCGACTTACTCCCAGCATTTATTGAGTCAATTCATAATTCCAGGCAATTTTAAAAGGCATTCCTATTTCTAAACACTTCCCCAGGCTAACAGTGTCATCAATCACCAAATGTGGTAATCATATATATATAATAATGCCTTGACTTCATAAACAGCCTTCAAATTAAGATGATTTCATATCATCAACTTATCTACAGATATTTTTTGTTTCTTTTAATTTTTTTGAAGATGTGAGTAATATATGCTACAGCATGTACCACTATCACACGTGTGGCTGCTGTGAACACGCTTCATAATGCTGTGATACTGTGCTGGTTTCATGCTGAGATACTTCAGCTCATTTCCAGCCAAGGGCAATATATCAGCAGACCACAATGAATTGCTATTTTGATGATGGTATTCAGAGCGGATCGTTTAGTGAGCAACAACTGGCTACTTAACACAAAACTGCTTGTAAAATCATTAAAATGAAAATCACAGACCAAAAAAAGAAAAGGGATTGGTTTTGCAACATCCTGTCATGGATAGCATTAAAATTATAATGATTGTAGATTTTTTTTTATGGGAGAGTATAAAGTATAATGATTATTTCAAGTGTGTGCTAGGTTCTTCTGTTGAATTCACAAACAGGACATGAATGAATGAGGAAGGTAAACACCAAACCTCAAAATAAGACATAAATTAAAAATGTATTTCAAATTATTATTAATCTAATAATATTAGTGTGAGATGATGAAGTTTATTTATTATAATGTATGGTCAAATAAGTTTTTAAAAATGAAAGTTATATAAAATTAGAAAAAGCTGATTATATAATAAAATATCAAATATATACTAATACTATACTATACAATATACCAATAACATAACATAACATAGCACTTGACCCATTAGGAACGTGGAGGTGCATTATTTATTGGAAGATGATACTGATACCAATATAATTTATTTTATTTACTCATTTATTGATAATAATGATTATGACGTTTGTTTTTAACATTACTCTTTACTAGTTTACACTTAGATGTGCACCGTTTCCAGTTTACTTTTTATCTTTAACATGAGTTAACAACCAACAATGGAGAAATTATTTCCCTAAACTGATTTCAATTTCGGCGGTTTTCTGATTCTATGTAATCGTAGTCGCTTTCCTTTCAGATTCGGTCTGGGGTTGGGTGGAAAGAAATGGGACAACCAAGTGGAAAGAAAAATGTGTGACGCCTACCACTTTTTGTGATTAGTAAAACTGCTACATTACTGATCGACACTGAATGATCAATAAACATTATGTAACAAGACGAAAGAAATAACATCATCAAAGTCATAAAAAATAAATTTGTTTACCTTCAATTCTGTCAAATCCGCCATTTCTCTGTCTATCCATTAATACCAAACGGGCAATGGTAAACAAATCGTGCAAAATCTGGAGGAGGAAACATTCTGCCTTTCAAGTTATATAAAAATCACTACCGTTCGTTATTATTTAAAATACCTTAATTCTAAGATTATCTAGCACATTTAAATTAAGCTACCTACTAAAATATGTTAGGAATTTATATAATTTAAATAAAAATTTTCATATTTATTTAATAACTCACATACCAAGTGAATATAAAAATACATTATTGGTGAGTGCGTTTCGTAAATCTTATTCCCAAAACGGGCAACATTTGCCTAAGCCTAACGGTCAGGCTACAGGCAAGAATGTTGCCCTTCTAAAATTAGAAGTTGTCGGTAATCTTTAACGCTGCGCGCGCCGGTGTTGCTTAAAGTATGGTAAGCCGTGAGAACACGTTTTACCTCTGTAATTGTTTTGCCAGTTATCTCGTGAAACATGTTTCACGTATTTCCATTTTCCAGTTTGGTTTACGTTTGCACTTTTAAGAAAAATGTTACTGACCACTTGTATGTTTCCGTAATATTGACGTATTCAACTACATTATATTATTTGTTTCCGAAATGAGGAAAAAAATTTTGTCCCACAATAAGATAACCAAATTAAGGACATTATTTTTTTTCTTCTTCTTCTTCTTCACTTCCTCTTTTACCGCTGTGGGTGTCGAGGGAGATATAAGGTTCTGTTTCTAGCTCTTCTGGCTGCCTCGACTATGCTGTTGTAGAGTTTCTCTGATGTTATCCTTCCATCTTGTTCTTGGTCTACCCCGTGCTCTACGTCCTTCTTCTCTTTCCATGTATGTTTTGTATGGTATGGTGTCACAAGGCATTCTCTCTAAGTGGGCAAACCATTCCACTTGCTGTCTTTGTATGAAATCCAGAATTGGTTCTGTGCCGACTTGTTCTCTTATGATCTCATTCCTGATCTTATCTCTTATGGTCACTCCTACAGCCCTTCTCAGACATCTAATTTCCGTGGTTACTAATTGTCTTTTATGGTTTGTTGTGATTGACAATGTCTGGCACTGGTAGCACAGAGTTGGAATAAATATGCTTTAAATAAGATGTTTCTTTGCGCTGATTGGGATACATTGGGATACAGAAATCACATTATTTTTTGGTGTTGAGAAATTGTCACAACGAAAGTCGTGGGTCGATCTACGGTATATTTCCATTCATTTTTTAAAACTATTTACAATGATGACGCCCAATGTTTTTTTGGGGGGGCGGGGGGGTGGGGGGTAGTATATTTATCCCCTACTTCCACCCTATACCACCCCCCCCCCCCCCGAGACAGCAATCTCACTCCAACCCTTCCCCCCTCACCCTTCCAACTCTCTCTCTATCTCTCTCTCTCTCTCTCTCTATCTCTCTCTCTCTCTCTCTCTCTCTCTCTCTCTCTCTCTTCTCTCTCTCTCTCTCTCTCTCTCTCTCTCTCTCTCTCTCTCTCTCTCTCTCTCTTGTTATTGTTGTTTCCTTCAATGTAATCAGCATTTTTAGCGCCACATCGTGTTCAGTATACCCACCCAGCCAGGTCGACTTTGGTCTTTGGTATGTTTATCTTTTCACATGTATGAAAGAAAATGAGTTTGTGCCAAGAACCCACACTTTAAGAATTTATTGCCTGACTTCCCCTTTTTATTTATATTGTGCAACCTTGCCGCCAGCATTAAACTATAGGGTTGGGGGGAGGGAGGACATGATTCACATTTATATTTATCTAAGGGGAGGTGCTCGAGGGACACACAAATAATAATAATAATTGTTACTATTATCTATTATGTGCATGTCTCCATATCACTGTCCAGTCTGGTGGGTATAGGGTGTTAGAAGTCCTGTCTGTCATAGGAGTCCTTTGACAGGCTGATGTGCTGTGTGGTGGAGAACGGCAAGGAAGTTCGTCTCCAGTTAGCCATAGTTGTCTGCTGAAATAATATTAAAGTCCAGTGGATAGGAGAATTCGTCCTGTTCAGCAAAACGGCGAGCCCAGAGTTGTGGGACGCTGTAGACCTTTGGAGCTATAGTGGTCAGGGAGAGGTCGCTCCAAGTTGAGAGAGAGCGAGTGAGGACTACATGGACTAAATTCGAATGTCAGTTAGGATCAATGTCTACGTCTCTGCAGCTGTGTCATGTAACCTATTGAATAAAATGTATGACGGAGCTACTGTCGTCGAGTCCTGCTTCGAGTGAGAGAGAGCGACAGTTGTACCTGCTGGTCACTTGGGATGTGCCGTTTAGTGCGTTGTAACTCAGAAGTCCGGAACAAGGCGCATCCTTGATCCTTGATATGAGTAGAAAAAAAAAAAAACTTGGACTTCTTCAATCTGCCTCGAGGGCTTGACAGTAATTAAGTCCTTTGTTCTTTGTGGTTTGGTTTTCGTTCTTTTGTTGTGATATGGATTCACAACTGGTTTTCAACATTTTCTTGTAGCGACTAATGCCTTCAGGTCTGCTTCGCTAGGGTTTTTGTTGCTTTTGAGAGGTAGCCGAGTTGCCCTTAAAAAAGGACATCAAGGTTTTCCTTAATCTTCTGTTTCTCGTGCTGTTCTTGCCTTTCTGCTCAGCTCCGACTTATGTTTGGTTAGCCTTGTCATTGTATGCACCCAAGTAACCGCCATGCATACCACCACGAAACAGATTTTTAACGGTGTCTTTGATTGTGCCACTCGTTTCAGATTTGGGCTGCCTTCAGTGTTCCCAATATGTTTCCGTCTTTTCAGTGTTTAAGGCGCATTCAGTGTGGTTACTTGTTAATGGTGTCTTTGATTGTGCCACTCGTTTCAGATCTGGTCTCCCGTGAGTGTAAATGTGTGGTTGTGGGTGTCTGTACATGTGATTGTGTGTGCGTATGTATGCATGCATGTAAAGGTGTGTATGTATGGAATTAATGTGTTTGTGCATGTATGTAAATATGTGTATGTGTGTGTCTTTTTTGTTTGTGTATGTATGTAGATGCGTGTGTGTATGTATTAGGTATGTCTGCATATGAATGTGCATGTATGAGAATGTAAGAGTATATATACGTGTGTGTGAGTGTGTGATGTGTGTATGCATTATTCTATAATGCATATTTCTTTATTATATCCATAACATGCATTTTTGATAACTGGCATTGGTACTCTGAAAAATGAGTGCTTAGAAGGGCCGAATGACAGACGGGCCTGCGTCCCCAATTTGTAACCCTTTAAAAATAAAGTTTGTTCGTTCGTTCGTTTGTTCGTTCCTATCCTATCACATAGGTCACATTGGCTTCGATGTGCACATGCTTTCGTTGTTTGGATTTTTCGTTTTGTCCTTCAGACCGTGCATGCTGGAGTCATTCTTTCTGTTACAATTACTAGAATGCCCTCTGAAATTCACATCACGAAAGATATAAATATTTAAAAATATACATTTATAAGAATCAGTTTCTCCTATCGAAGACATGCAATCACAGATAATAGCAGATGTGAAATAGAAAGAGACAGATCAAAATAGGTAAAGAATTTTCTTCAACATGAGAAAAATATTAACATATATTAAATGTAAACGATGAACAATTAAAATTAAAAATAATTGTCGATACTCAACTCTGCTACTGAACGCAAAAGTAGTACTATATGTACAACTGATTATGTTTTATTCAGCTATAGTAGGCAAAACTCGGGAAGCTTTCGGAGGCACCGCTAAGATGTTAGATGGGGTATATATTTATTAGATTAGGCTTTTATGAGGTTCATTGATTATGGGTTTTTTTTTTAATTGGGGAGGCGGGGGGCTTGTGGTTACCCGTATATATATATATATATATATATATATATATATATATATATATATATATATATATATATATATATATATATATATATATATATAGAATATTCATACGCGCCTGGGACGTCTGGGGGAAAGGCTACACCAAGATATGGTGTAAGCCATGAGACTGTGCGTTGCTTTGTTGGTGATGTGCTCAGCGAAGGGAGGGGATGGGTCATTGTGATTAGCGAGAGAGTGACATAGTAAGATCTCTTTACGGTAGTTCATAGTAGTGAACCCTTGTAGTTTATATATGTAAAAACAGGAACCATGAAGGAGGGGCAGGGGCCGACCGACACGAAGAAAGGCACAGGATATGACTCCTTGGGTATGAAAGTACAAGAGGCGGGAGAACCGGCGAGAGACCGTGTTACTTTCAGACAGACTGTGATGAGAGCGACGTTTTGCAAAGGACCTGCTACACGATGATGATGATGAAAAACAGATAAACGAAAATAGGTACATTTAACCGGCGTAATGATCATATTTTTACACATTTACTAACTCAGATAGAGAAATTAGCCAGAGATGTGCCAAAGCTAATCGAGTAATGGGGCAACTATCTCCCCTGTTGACACACAAGCAGATACCCCGGAGTACTAAAGTTTATCTTATCAGAACTCTTTTTAACCAACACTATGCTATTAGTGCCAGACGTGGACACTTAATCCTCTAATGAACGTAAAATTGTGAAAACAGAGATATTATGCGTTAAAAGAGCTGCAGGAGTTTCGAGGAAAGACAGAATACAAAATCACAAAATCAGACGAAAGCTAGGAATACAGTCAGTCTTATAGGTCATCAAGGAACAACAAATGAAAGGGTTTTGACACCTAACAATAAAGCCGTGGTACTTTATGCCACAGCGAGCCACACTGAAGGTTACGACGTATATAGAACGAGCGGAAGACAAAAATATGTATTGGTGGCATTAGATACAGTCTTACAGAAATGAAGATCAATCTTAATAGTATTCGAATATTACACCCCCCCCCCCCACCCCACCCCACCCCTTTCCTGACACTTCGCTGAGGTACAAGGTGGAAGAGAAGAAGAAGAAGAACACGGCTGAGATATTTTAACGCTGATATCAGTATTGATTGGGTAACAGATGTTGCTTAGAGATTGTGTTTCTATTTCCAGCCTTTGTCAAGCTAAATAGAGCATTTGCTGAGGAA